AACGTGTCACAGCAGTTGTCTCTTCAATATATCTTTAAAGAAAAGTAAGGCTCGCATATTTAAGACTCCCCATTTTCATTCAAGGCGCTTGTCTGTCTCGGTGTGGCATTAATTCTACCTTAACTGATATGTTTTTAAACCGTTTATACTCTCTTTTCATTCCATCATCGGTTTGTATTATTTGTAGGTTATTTTAATATTGATACTGAGATTATTCTAAAGAACATGTTGCTATAGAGTATACTAATTTTGTTCACCTAACGATTGTTTGTAACACCTAAAACTAAGTGAGATAGTTTTATATGTATAAAGTTATATATATAGATGTATATATAAATGATCAGGATGACGAGACGAGTTGAAATCAGTGTGACTGTCTGTCTATTCATCCGTCCAACCGTGCCAGACCTAACTTGAGTGAAAATTAAGATAACTCGATGCAACTTGGTTCAAGTGTATGTACTTTGAAGGTTGGTATTGTAGATGGGTCGGATCCACACAAAAATGTCTTGCCCACAAAATGAGATAAAACCTAGAAGTGCTATAACTAAGCCAACAAATTGACATACAATCGATTATCCAAACCACCACCTTCATCCAAACTTGCTGAGAACAAGTCCTTTCCGCACTTCATCAGATAGTGTTCCCATTGAGTTTTTCGCGATGTTTAAACAACCCAAAGGTAACATCAAGTGACCCTATAAAGTATATATTATATATAGATGATCAACGTGGCGAGCTAAGCCGATTTAGCCGTGTCCGTCCGTCTGTCTGTATATATGGGAACTACTCTCTCAGTTTTTAGGATATCGCTCTGAAATTTCGCACCCGACCTTTTTTCACCAAAAATCTGCACATTTGCCAGAACGGCCGATATCGGACCACTATAACATATAGCTGGCATACAAACTAAACGATCGAAAGTATGTGCTTGTATGGAAAACATTTTTATTTGAAAAGCTATCTTCACCTAATTTAGCATGGGTTATTTACTAAGGCAGCGGTGGAGTATCCAAAGTAATTGTTCAGATCGGGTCACTATAACATATTGCTGCCATACAAATAGGCCGATCATGGTTGTTATAAGGAAGGTATTTGTCAATTGTATTGTAGCTTCGGTGCAACCGAAGTTAAGGTATTTTCTTGTTAATATTAAAACCGGAAAAAAATAAATGAAAACGGTAGGAAAAAGTGAAGGGTAACAAATACAATATATAATTTATTTAGCTATAAAACAGAAATTTCAAAAAAAAAAGTAAAATCGGAACTTCATCTACACTCAATATATTTAGAATGTTGCCTTTCAAAACGAATTGGTTGATGAGAACTAACCGATATTTTTGTTCATATGTAGGTTATATTCTATATGATATAATAGTGAAAGAAATCGTGGAATATCAAATTCTATATTTCTTATTATACATACATAAATACATAATTATATCTTATGTTCTAGTCTATAACAGATTTGGCGCCTTCTGAAATTAGCCTTTACTTACATTCATTTAGAAACATTCTTCTTCTTGTAATTACCCTGAGATATCATAAATGTATTTTATATTTAAAGTATTTTAAATATACTTAATTGCTTTACAGTTAAACATACCGTTATTGTTATTATCAACTGAACTAAACAAGGCTTTAATAACGCAACTTAATGAATCACTTGTTGTTCTTTAAAATAATTATATTTATAAACGTATGTATGTATGTTCAGCATTTCACACCAATTTGGAGCAGCTTATATAATGAAATGCACAACAACAAAACCACCACAATTTAAAATTTAATGCATTCAAAGAAAATGTTGTTCATTTTGCCTTTTTAAGTTACTATTCTCGCGCCGGGAAGCACCCACCAAACAACTGCTTTCAATATTCCAGGCATGGTTGTTCATGAGATTTTGTTGTAGTTGTTTGCACACTGCTATATTCAGCGCTATTGGAGCGCCCTGTTTTATTTCGTTTAAGGTGAAGGCTGTACATTTGTAAATATGTATGAGTGTATGTACGTATGTGCTATAAATTGCCGTCATTATACCCCGGAGAGGATATATCATATTAGGTGTTCCACACCCAGAAGTAACTTCCTTCAGTTTTTGAGATATGCGTGCTTTTCTTTCCAAGAAGCTGCTCAATTGTCGGAATCACCAATTTAGGACAGTTTTAGCATATATCTGCCATACAAACTGACAGATTAAAATCAAGTCTTTGTATCGATGACTTTCTTATTTGACAATATACATATATATATATTACTGAAATTTGGCTGAGATTATTTTCCTCAGCAGGGCAACATTCTCCGAACATATTGTTTGGATTTTACCACTATAACATATAGATGTCATACAAACTGACCGATTCAAATAAAGTTCTTGTATGGAAATTTTTTTTATTTGACGAAGTATCTTCACGAAATTCGTCATAGATTATTATCCGAAGCATCGCTATAATTTCCGAAGAAATTGTTCGGAATCGGTTCAGATCAGAGAACTATAACATATAGCTGCCATAGACACTGACCGATCAAACTCTAATCCTCATATGGATAACTCTTCTTTGACATGATATCTTCACGAAATTTGGCATAGATTATTGTAAAGGGTATCCCAAAATTAACGCAGGTTTGGAATTAAATAGAAAACACAGCTTTTAGCTTTCGTAATTTCGTAATTTAGTAATTTTTTTATTGAATCATAAAGTACATGGGATAGGGTTAGTTATGAAAAACGCCCTTTTAAATCTTGCGTTCATTTTGGGACACCCTGTATAAAGTAACGCTCCAATATCCAAACAAATTGACCGTTTTTAATCAAGATAAAGATATTTTTTAATACCCTTACTGTGAAGTGTGTTCTAGCCTCCGCAACTGAAGTTAAGGCAACTGAAGTTAAGGTTTTTTCTTGTTGTTTTTTTTTCTTTTATCTCATCGCGCTTTAATTAATTTATTGACTCGCCACAGTTGAATGCAAGCAACCACACACTGTTTGCCTCATTGATTTGTTGTCGAATTAATTTCAGATTGCTGCTCCCACTCTGAGATTACGTATGTATATACATACATATGTAGTTCACGAAGCCTTCTGCGGCATCTTCTGCATAGTCTGCCTGAACATTTGACTGCTTTGCGCATTGTTGTTGTGTTCAATGGAATCAACACAATTAAGTATCGGCAATTAAATTTCGTGGATTTTAAACACAATTACGCATTTGCACAGAAAAGTATGTGCGTTTGACGAAAATAAGTAGAATTTCAAGAAAGTTCAATGCAGCTTAAAGTCATTAGTTGGTAACTGTCGTCTGGACGTTGTTGTATTCACAGTGTGTGCAGCATTGGCGCTGGTCTGCCGGCCGGCAAGTTGTTTGGCCTTTTTATTTGTACCAAAATCTTTTAAAGCTTGGAAAAGTTTGGCGCTTTATTGTTGGCAAAATATAACGAACCATAAATAACTTCAAGCAATAAGGCTGTCATTTGTCATATTTGACAACTGAATGGAAAATTATAGGTGATTAAATGATATAGGCATTGAGGTGTGTCAAATGTTGTATGTGTATAAATAAGACATTGTACATAATACATACATATGTATGTATATATTTACATACAAACATATATTTATAAACTACTCCATGTCCAGGTCTCATAGAGCGATTAGCCTAACCTCCATTCTACAACTCGACAAATAACCAAATTCGTCACACAAATTTTGATGATTTTGAGATAGTGGTTGAGAGGTAGAGCTTTTCGACCGACTTGGCATTTTATATAGCCATTAGTATTGCTTTCCAAATGAGTACCTTCCACGAACTAGAGCGAAGGAACGCAGAGCCAACTACTACAAGTAGATTGTCAGTGGCGTTAATTTGTACTAGAATCGCAGAAAACTTGATGCAGTCCAGCAAGATGATAATGGAAGAGGATGACCACGAGTTGGGGCCTTATCACACGAGCAATTCAGCCTATTCAGTTTTAGACGTGCTCTTGGATCTGCTAACGATCAATGTCATCTGCATAATAGCAGGGAAAATTTAATTAAAGTAACTAAAATTGAAATCAAATTTACGACGCGAAAAATTTGTCTGGCTAATTTTATCATGAAAAATATGTAAAAACCGAATTGCTTTTAATTTTGTGTTTCCAATGGAATTGCAGGAGTGTTTCAGAGAAACTACTTTGCCACGAACACAACTTTTGAGTGGCACAAATCTTGTTATTTTTATTTGGTCAAGAATTTCCAAGCTTGCAGCTTTCTACAACGACAGCACACAATAGCATATGAGGTTTTCTCCGACCGCTACCCCTCTATGTACACCCTAATTCAATTAATGTATGGCTCTTTATATAGAAAATCAATTAAATATTGAAATCAATTAAATTTGTTTTGCAAGCTTTGTTAATTAATTACATCAGGCCCGGAAATTCATGATGTGATTGGGGAAAATATTTTATGCATATCTGTGTACATTAAGTATATATGTAAATGTTGTATGAAGATATTTTAAGTAATAAATTTTATAAAAAATAGTTTCTCAAGTTTGAGATAAAAAAATTTAATTATGTTCTTTAAATTTTTATTATTATTAAATTAATACATAAAATTTTTCATTTTTAATCCCAAACATCTTGGATTATAAACGATTTTTTAATTAAAAAGAAATGATTCCCAAATCAGAATTAAAAATTTAAAATCTAGTTTTTAACCCCAAATCAGTATTAAAACTTGAAAATCTAGTATATATAAGTATATATACATAACTCCATACGATACGTTTAGATGCTGTAGCAACATGTTGCGGGCGCATAAGAAGAAAACTGAAAATATTTACTGCTAAACTAACTAAGCCCAAAACGCGATTTCAATGTGGTTTTTCGTATTCCAAAGAATGAGTTGAAACTGTATATCTTTTAAATATCTAAAAAATCAAAACAACACTTTAAAATGTATAAACTATCACTTTATTTAGATCTATGTGTCGCTAACTATATTAGTCAACTGATTATTTTTTTTTAAATAAATATCACAAAAAAGTTACTCTACAGCTAGATTTGTGCGATTTTTTGTTTCTCTATTAATAAAATACTCCACAGCCACGGAGAAAAAGTAAACACCGCTCGCAGCGATATAGTAAAATGCGTATACAGTGTACTGGCCACGTGTGTCCAAAGAAAAGCCAGAGTTTGAAACGACAATTATTGTGAGTAGCGTTTGAAATACAAGCGCTATAAATGTATTTACACCGAATACTAAGCCAAAACTGTCTTCTTCGAGATAACGTGCCACCTCAGCGCTGAAAATACAAAAACAAGTTATGTTCATTATATTGCATACATATCGTTATGGATATATAAAGTAACATACCTCGCTACAGTTATGCTAAATGCATAAAGTGCTCCATAAAGTATATAACCAACGTACGAGATGTAAATATTTGACGTCCAACAACAAAGCAAAACAGCTCCACCCTCCATAGCGGCAAAAGTGGACAAAACCAATAAACTTTGAAGTGGCTGCAATCGTCCAGCGTGTATGTACCCAGCTGCCAATGCCATTAACGCCGCTAATGCTGTTAATATGGCATCGACTGCACCATTCCAAGCAATTTCTATATTCGGCTCAATTTCAATCCATAACACTTGTATATATGTAAGGATTTGCAAATAACCACACAAACTGACCGCATACCAAATACTCCATTGAACTACCTTCAAATTGCTGTAGGCATTATAGAAATGTGACCAGAGCAACTTGAAAGGTGTCAACGGTATTATATTTTCTCTACCCTGACTGCTAATTGATTTAGCATCTTGCAATTCCGTAGATGATGAGTTAACAGCAGCCGTTGCTTGAATATCATCAAAATAATTCTTTGGATGGAAATATAAACTTTTATCCACTTTTGGTAAAACGAAGCCCCACAATGTAGCAAAGATTTGAGCTATAAGAGGGGGCGCATATAAGTGATAAGCATTATTCCTTGTTAACATTGCATACTTACTGCTTAATGTTATGTAATTCAACGATTTGTAATCCATTAGTTTCAAATTGACGAGCAGCTGTGAGGAAAAGCCTGCCACTAGTTTACCCAGAAACATGGCCGCTCGTGTATGGGCACTGACCTTGGGATAGTATTGCTTGTCCACTTTAGCGTAGATATATGTGTAATAAGCCACTTCGGAGGCCATGTAAAGGCCGTAAACGAATTCAATTATTTGCAGCGCGGTTAATGATGTGGACCAAATCAACATAGCTGATATTATTGTACCGCAAGCACCCATCATAATAATCAAGGGTTTGTACCTGCATGAAAAAAATTACAAAAAAAAAATTAAAATATGTTGTTTTTAATTTTATATGTATCACGTATAATTGAAGTGAATAAAAAGTAATTAACCTGCATATAATTAAATACACATATGTAGTCTGTATGTATGTAATGTAAGTACAATACAAAAAATTTGTATACAAATTTATAGTCATAAAAGTATGTATCGTAAAGCAATGTATTGAGTAAATAGTAATAAAATTAAGTTTTTTAAATGAGTACTCAACTCATAAGTTAAATTACAGCCAATGAAAAATTTTATGCGTCTTGTTAGACAGTATATAACTTTGTTCGTTACTATGTACATACAAATACATGCATATGTACATGGTCAGTAAGCAAACATTAAATATTGAACGGATTGCTTAAACTTTTTTCAAGGTATAAAAAAGCGGTAAAATAAAATAAAAGAAAAAACGATATGTAATACAAAACCGAATGCAGGCGAGGTTACATTGTAAAGTTGAATCAACTTTTTATATTTTACGGTGATAGTTTACGGAATTTTCAGTTTTCTTACAAACATTTTTAACTTACCTCAGAAAATCGGTGACTATAAACATTAGCACAAGTGTAGCCAGATAAGAATACGTCGCCACCGGATATACTTTACGGCTGAGCTAGATATAGAATTGCGAAACATATATATATGATAACAAGGTGTATGATGAATTATAGTAAGAACGTTGTGTAAATACCTCATCCTGTGTTATATTTGGTCTGCTGCTTATCAAATATTCCGTTACGTATGATTCTGAAGGACGAATTTCGTGTGCAAAACCGCAAATGCATAATAAACATGAGATTCTGAACCATTCTTTCATAATTACTTGTGGTCGATAAGAGTTTAGCTGAAGATCGTCGTCGTTCACTTGTTAAAAAATTCTTGTAATTTTGTAGCGAGCGACACCGTGCACCGGTTGAGTCTTTCAGCCAAAGTGTATGCAGCCGATTGACGACCATTTACGTCAAGAACCGAATGCGAAATGTCATATTGCCTGTTTTATAATTTGCCAACTGAAAGCGACAATCATCTTAACCCAACATTATTACATTTTAACATATTCACTTGAATATACATACAGGCATATAGTAAGTACTTCTCACCTGATAACTTCCCAAAGTTGTGTTCGTAGTAGTTGGCGAACTAGCTGCAGGGCTAAATGCTGGCTGATAGGCTAAAATGCAGTTCCCAGCCTCATTACTATAAATTGTGTAGGTGAAATTGTTTATAGTATCACTAAGGTAATAATTTAACTGAATCCATAAACTGTTAGATTGTCCTGAAATTTTATTCGATGAAGTTAATTAGATAACCGGTGCGAATGTTGCGGCGTTTGTCCATTGTGCCCCTGCCGTTGACAAATATGTATCTTTAGGTGTTTCCTTTAGAATGAAAACCTCTGAAATCGTTGTTAAAATTGATATAGGCTTATAGAGGACGTTAGAATAAAGAATATACACTGCCGCAGAATTATAATTTTAAATATAGTTGCATATAAGGTTAAAAAATTTAAGTACGTAATTAAACTTTACTCTTACACTTTGCACTTTTTCTATTTTAACCTTTCTCTAATTTGTTTCTAAAAGTTGTATATCTATTTAATATATTTTTATATAACTATATACAATTATTTATCTTAGTATTCAATTCAATTTATTCACACAATAACAATATGTTTGCATGATAACAAATCCCAAGTGTTACCATATCTACATTTTTTGCAAACGAATCAAAAGAAATATAGAAGAAATCTTATACCCCAAATACCGGAAACAGATACCCACATTTTAAACTTTCAGCTCAGGAGTTCTTTCCAAGGGTGTCATTATGCGAGACTCTCTTATTTTTCTCTCAAACGTTTTCTCTGAATATGTCGTTTGCTAAGGAGATCAAGGAATTTTAAACAGCTTATATTAAAAAAGGCGAGAGCCAGCAATAAGCCTGCTAAAACTAACTGACAAAATCAATGCGAAACGAAATGTCAAGACGCTGATAATATTGAAACCCGAGCAACAAAATTTTTTTTTTAGCTATTCTGTGTTATAAATTCTTAAAATTTCTATGTAAAAAGTTCTTCATAAAACCGGAATATTTTATTATGAGTTGTATTGATTTTTTTTTACAGTTTTTCCATTTATATATTATTTTTTATGTTATATGAATTTTGAAATGTTTTGATAATTTATCTACGTTTGTATCTAATATATATTTTTAAAGTGAATACACGTTTACATTGACCTATTTATTTCTTTTAATAAACACCATTATTATGAATGAATACTGGCCCGATAAATAATGAACATGTATTCACTTTTTTCTCAATTCTCACAATGAACCACGATCCAAACATCACAATAATCATTGCACGTGTGTGACAGACACCTTTATAAGCGACAAATGTTTTCATGTCGGAACTTAGACATATTTCAATATTTACCTGAAAGTACGGAAATATTCAACACTTTATAACTTACTATAAAAGCAACCCTAAATTCAATGTACATATTCAGACAGTGCTGCTTCAAATTATAAATAGCGGTACAACGAATTGAAAATGAGAATATAATAATATTCTCTATAAATGGTAAATATTTTTAGAGTCAATGTTAGAATTTTTTAATATACCATTTTACCAGCGTTCAAAAACAATATTAATATCAATTAAATTGGTTATTTAAGTGAAATAAACTACATACTTAATAAGTTATTTATTTGGAGGTGCCCGTTTTGGGGAAAAACCCGAGCTCTTGCAACATTGTTTTGTTATTGTTTATGTTTTTAGAGTATTTGCTGCAAGTTGCACGTTGTTATTTTTTTATATCCCACATTAAACTTTAATAAAAATCATAGTAAATAATTATATAAAATCAAATGGAGGATCAACAATCAGTATCATATGCAGCCACGCTCAAAGACATAGTTAGTTTTATGAATCCCTTGGAGAGAGAGGATTTGATATCAATTTCACTTACACATGTGCTCTGTATGTTTAAGAAACTATCAAAATATTATATGCTCACTACTTCTTTATTTAAACTCTTTTCCTTCAGCTTTGAGTGGTTCAATTGAAGGCAAAAAGGCAATATTGCAACATGACGAAGTATTGGTGGCGGTCTTTAATCTTGTCAACCACAAATTTAAAGAAATAGCCAAGTATGCTGTATTAACGCTCATTAACCTAACTGCAGATGAGGAAGACGCCAAAAAGGTGTTTGAAATTGCAAAATCATTGAATCCGGTACGAAAGTAAAGAATTTCAGTTATTTATGAAATATATTTATACTCTGATCATGGTATATTAGAAAAATCCAAAGGGAGGGCTCTATAAAGTATATATATAGATGATTACCACGACGAGCTAAGTCGATTTAGCAATGTCCGTCTGTATTTACGCGAAATAATCCCTTTTTTTTGAGATATTTTTCCGAAATTTTGAAAACGTGCTTTTCTCAACAATAAGCTGATTATTTCACGGATCCGTCGTACAAACTGACCGCTCAAACTAAAGTGCTTGTATGGAAAACTTTCATTTGTATCTGGTATCTTCACAAAATTTGAATGTAACTGACCCCTTTAGGCTATAAAATTCAATTGTGAAGGATATTATAGCTTCGGTACAACTGAAGTTAACGTTTTCGGGGCTTATCTAATATAATACGTTCCCAACAGGCTTTCCCCTTTATATCAATTGCAATTAAGGAAATAGTCGATGAGAATTCAAAGTCTGCCGATCCCTGGACAATGGTGCTAAGTAATTTAACACGTAGTGAGAACCTAGTTGAAGAAATAATTGTTGAATTGGAAAAGGAAAGCACAACGGTACCTAAATTACTTGAAGCATTTACGAAATTGGATTATAACAAACAAAATATGAAACTGCATTATTTGGGTAAGCGCGAACACAAAGTCAATACATAAATGCAAATAAATAAATTGTATCTTTAGCTGCTATATTTTGTAATTTGACACAAACTGCAAGAGGTCGTGAAATTGCTTGTGAAGCCAAATATGATTTCCTCGAAAAGATATTACCGTTCACCTCGTATGAAGAAAATATTGTGCGTCGGGGCGGTACAATAGGTATTTTAAAAAATATTTGCTTCGATCCGGTCTACCATAATATTATTTTAAACGAAAAGGATGACATATTGCATGCGATATTGTATCCACTTTGCGGTCCCGAAGAATTCACCGATGAAGAAAATGATAAACTACCTCTGGAACTACAAGTAGGTGGAGTCTAAATTGCTCATATAATATGTATAAAAAACAAAAATATTTCTAAATTACACTTATAGTATTTACCTGAAACGAAAACTCGCGAGGAAGACCCAGATTTGCGCAAAATGCTTTTAGAGTCACTGCTGCAGCTGTGTGCAACAAAGCGTTATCGCGAAGTTTTGCGTTCTAAAGGCGTATACGAAATATTGCGTGAATACCATAAATGGGAAGCGAAGTTTGGCAAAGATACCGAGTGTCTATTGGCATGTGAAAACGTCGTTGATATTCTAATCAAGTAATTACTGGTAGTATATTTTTGTAAAATTTTTAATAAAAATTCTTTACGTATGCAGGAAAGAGGAAGAAATCGGTTTGGACAACTATAAAGAAGTGCAAGTACCCGCTGATGTTGCGGAAAAATTTGTAAAAGAAGATATTGAATACATGGAGGATCTTTTATAATTTACAATAAATTAGAGAATATAAAATATTATTATATAACACTAAACAGTTTAAGAATTTTAAAATTTGCTGTCGAAAATAAAGAATAATGATAAGTATAAATAAAAACAGGGTGCGTGCAGTCCCTCCGCGCGGAAGAAGTAACAAGATGTTAATAAATAGAATAGCGGAACGAAAAGTTCGCTCTGCTGCGCTAAACGCGGTTAAACGAATGCGCCTGATAATTTTGCTGGTAGGTATTCCAGAAATTGTCATTAAAACTGCCCGCGCTGAATATTTTTCAGCACTAATTACTATGCCAAAAATGAGCGCGATCTGTCCACCAGTGTGTTTGCAGCAGCTGTTGAAATCAGTCGACCTCAGAAGTGTTTTGCGACTTTTACAATGGGTAAAAATATTGAACAAAGAATTTGCATCAAATTTTGTGTTTCGAACCAAATTTCGTGTGCGGAATCGTTGCCAAGTATACGACTGGTACAAAGCCTTTAAGGTTGTTCGAGAAACCGTCGAAGACATGCCTCGTTCCGGTCGTCCTTCGACTTCTATCACTGCCGATAACATCAAAAAAGTGAACTAAATCGTACTCGAAAATCGCCATGCGAGTGTTAGAGAAAGATGGAATTTAAAATTGTATTATATGGCAAGTAAGAGTGATTTTAGTCCGATTTAAATGTGGACGGTGCTGCGCCCGTCGGCCAAATTTGATAAGGGCGCCTATAAAGTCTTCTCGTACCATCTCGGCTATAAAATTCTCTGTGTCTGGCACATTTATTTATAGATATATCGCACTTTTCGTAGTTTTTAATAAAGCGTTATATGGGGAGTAGGCGGCTATAATCCGAATTCACCCATTTTAATAAGGTGGATAGGATTACCAAAATGATTTGACCTGCGCAAATTTGGGTGATGTAGCTTCAATGGTTTAGGAGATAACATACTTCAAAAGTTTTAAAACAACAGATGCTCCTCCCTAAAGGAGTTAGTTATGCAATACCAACCCTCCTATATGGGCGCCAAGTTTCAACAAGATATTTTTACGGACGGAGATGATCGATCAAAATCCAGTCCTTGTATGGAATATGTTTCTGAAGGGTATTATTACTTCAGTGCAAGCGAAATTAACATTTTTCTTGTTTCACCTAAAAATGGAATCTGAATTTTTGGATCTCTTTTATCTCAGCTTTTTTATATTGAAATAACTGATGGCGTTGAGTCTCTTTTTGTAATCATTTTTAAAATAAAAAATGATTTTAAAACAAATTTTTTTTTTCGCGTTTTTCAACATTTTGACTCACCCTCAACTCTTATTAAAAGGCCATTAAATTAAATGAAACGCACATCGCTAATGTGAGTACGAAGTGAATATTTGTTTATTTTAGAATTTTATTGATATCACGCGCTTCCTGTTTGAAATTTGCTAGCTTAAATGCTCAAATACATATTTACTACAGCTGAAACTTATTTTTGTTATATTTTAATTAAATTATAACAATGACTGAGTAAGATTTAAGTGTTTTGTTAAATGAGTATATATAAGTACACAAATGTAAATAACTATAAATTTAGCATTTAGTATTTAACAATAGTTCATTGCGCATTTTATTATTTCATATACATACTTATTTAAGTCGGTTTTTTTTTTTTGCATATTATTCTATAAAGTTTTGCTTTTTATTTAGTAAATGGTAGTAAAAACGTTCAATAGTATAATTTATGTAAACTTTTTTTCATTTATTGCAAATATTTCTGATTTGGTTTTGCGTGTTTTGATCATTTTGATATCTGTCAGTTTTTAGGTTAGGTTGTGATTTTTTGCCGCGCGCTCGCTTCTTTTTTTCGTTAGTTTATTTGCTCGCATGCAAATTTGATTATGCGCTTTTTCGTTTATATTATATTTATACATATGCGTATGTGTTTTTTTTTTATCGGTTTTTGTCATGTTGTGCTCTTTTTGTGTGCATAATTTCAATTTGATAATGTTTAAAAATGTATGTTATTTCTCAAGTTGATTTTTTTTGTAAGCGCCCCTTAAGGTTCCCAATTTTTCGCTAAAAAATTATCCAACGTATATAAGCTCTTTATTTTCAATTTAAATCGTGTCTAAATAATTTTACTTTTGTTATGATTTACCATGGCATTCTTTGATCGCATGCAACACTTTTTTTCTCTCCAAAGCATATATTTGCTTCCAAAAAGTGAGAGCAACATACTTGTAGAATGTATAAATAATTTGTGTGAACTGACCTGAGCAAGTTGAGGTATAACTTTAACTGAGTATAACTTTTAAAGAAATGTTTTTATGAAAAAAGTCATCAAGACCTTTTTTGTAGAGCGGAAAGTTTTGTATTAAAATATTACTTTTCCACTAGTGCAGAAATCTTTGAAAATAATAACCCATCGGAAACGTATGATAAAATTACAAACATTAGAGGAAAAATAATTTATGGGTAATCTGTGGTCGGGAAAAGGAAGGGTAGGGGAGCGGTTGAGTTTTTAAGTGTCAAAAACAGTTTATCTTCATTTGTGGCAAAATAACTAGTCCGAAGTAGTAAAAAGATCTACAACTTTTGTATATAGACTTTTTTCACATAACCTCAAAATGTATATTCAAATAATCAAGTTTAAGGTTTTTTATATTTATCTTGTACAAAAAATGTTTTTCTTTCACGAAATTTGGTGTAAACTTATTATCTTATGTCCCAAATACTCTATATTTTTTTGATTTAAAATATAGTAATTTTTTCTTCTTATATTGTTTTAATACCGTAAAAAAATTCAAATTTTCAATAAAAGTTCTCAAGTCGAAATTTAAAATTTTTTTAAAACTCAGTTGGCTTAAATAATTGTTGAAAGCTCTACCTTTTAATGATATATTGTATAATTACATTACTATGATAAGTTTTGTCAGAACATGAAAAAAACGCTTAATATATATCAACTTGAGAAATAATGCACACCCTAATGCATATGAATATAAAGAACGCTCGTTGATTTGCTATATAACTATTAATTTATTGATGCTTTTGTGTGATTTTTATTTTGTTATTTTGAAAATTTTTTTATTTTTTTTAATGATTTTTTATTCATAAGCTAAACCATTGTACCGTTAAATGTTTGCAATACTCCAATAATTAGAAAAATAGGCTACTTACAGCTATTGTTCGCATTGCTAGTACTCTTTGTATTTACATAAGCGATTTATAAATATGCATATGTGTATGTGCCACTTGCGGGGTTTTTTTTTAGTTGCGTTTAAGTGAAAATGTGTAAATTCTGTTATTTTGATTAATTTTCTTTTCGTGTATGCAATGTGCATTTTTATTGCTTTGCTGCAAGCTGAATGCCCTTTTTTAATAATTTACTTCTAATTATTTTTGATTTTTTTTTTATAGAAAAGTACAATACAAGGTCTAACAAAAGCCGCTTAGCTTATATACAATTTTTTTGTTCTGAATGTTGAGTTTAGGAAACCATTAAAGCTCAATCGTTTGTAGCCTTATTAACAATAGTTATTAAATATATGCGTTTTGTTCAATATGAAATTCATTATATTATATATATAATATATACAACTATTTGTAAATATATGTGTGCAAATAGAAAAACGCTGAAAAATGAGTGCCTGCGCGAAAAATAAATTTTATTAATTTTTATTTTTTAACCTCAATTTTTTTAAATATTTTTTTATCGTATGTCAATTCAGTTTTATGTTTATGTCTTAATCTAGTCTAAATGCTATACCTTTTATTTGTTGTGTTGCAAATCCTTGTTTATGTTTTAAATTACGGTATTTATTTTAATTTTATGTAACACATATTGCATATTGCGCAAAATTATTGTTTCACGTAATCACTGAAAAAATCGTTTTGTTTTATAATAAATACTCGTATGCATTTTCTTGTGTTTTAATTTCACTTTGTCTTTGCTAAATCAATTTGAAATTATTATTATTTAATTGCTGTAAATTTTCCTAAAATGCGCAATTCATTTAAGTTAAGTTTTTATTCTGCGAAATTACAAGTAAATCGGGCGTTGTTTGTTTAAATCTTTGAAAAAACTTCTAAGAGGCATACATTTGTCGAATTACTAATTTCGAAACAATTTTCAATAATCTAACGCTTTTTTAAATTATAGTTTCATAGTATATGTATATATGTATATACTCGTATATACAATTTGAGTTGTAGTAGACGCGTGCAATATATAATGCGCTAATGTTTATATAATATGTCCTAGGTAGGTTAGATGTACAATTTAGCAGAAATTTCAACTAAAAATTATTTACAATTTTAAAGTGGTAGCAAGCGACGGAAAAAATTGGTGTTTTACGAATTTTTTTTCTGAAAGCAAGAATTTAGTTACACAATGTCTTAATTGTGTTGAATTTTTAAGCGATAATCGGTTAATATAGTTAGGTATGTAGAGTGGATCACTGGAATTAAAACTATCACACTCTATTATGTTCTCTCTGCTCCTGATGAAGTCCATCAATACAAAAAGTTTTTTTGTGCAATCTCCGAAATATTTTCAAGAAACTCTCGACCGATAGTTGTGATTCTTTTCCTAAACAAAGTCTTGCAATCGCATAGAACATGTTCTATAGTCTCTCCTTCTTCTACCTCTGACAGCTTCTACAATAGTTATTTTATGGTGTTGCCAATCTGCTGGCATGTCTACCAATTAGACAGTGACCTGTTAGCAGTCCTACAATGCGTAATTATTTTTGAATTTTAATACTCGGCTTGTGCGGCCCACAGTTAAATCATGTCACGTTTGACTAGCTAGTGATTTCAAAGCCGCTTGGCTATCTATATATATAAATAAATTTCTTATTGTGAGCACACTCTTTGTCAGCACAAGAAGGCTTTCTTTATTTCTTGTGATTTCCGCTTAAAAGACAATGCTGTAGTCAGGTAGTCGAAAGGCGATTCTGGTATCTAATTTTGCGGAAAAAGCACTCCCTGCCACTCGATTATCTAGTTTGGACCCATCCGTATAGATACTTATCCCTGTCTGCAAGGGAAGGGAATATTGGGACTGAATTTAACTTTAATTTATAGGATTTTGAAAATTCGTGTTATTGGGTAGAAACGGAAACTTACTAAGTATCTGGGAATGCTCCTTATTACAACCGACTAATTAAATTAAAACTTTAAAATTATGGCTCAATAACTTTGTGTCCCAAAATTAGTTTTGATTGTAAGAAGTTAGTTTCACATTTTTTAAGTAGAATTGTATAGTTAAATTTTAATCGATAATCAGTTGTGTTATCGATTAAATGAATCAGTTTTTGATTTTAAATTTCTTGAAAATGGATCAAACCAAGCGTTTTCCTAAACTGCTTTTAATTACCATAAATTAATTTTAAGTGAGATTAATTAATTAATAATTAGTTAATTTTTTTTGTGCATTTTGACCCGTCCGTTAAACGAAAGGTCTCTAAGAAAATATCGCATTATTTTGGAAGAGCTTTCCAATTTTTCCTGATTGCAATAATTGCAACATAATTAAATATATATATTTTAATAGCGACTGAGAAAATACTAGTAAGTTTAGGGTGGCATTTGGAGTATGTTGCTCATTATAATTTATTGTACAAAGCAGAATTTCGAACAAATTTGCAAAGTATCAATTTTTCGACAGATTCTGTATCAAAGAAAAATTGTAACTAAGACAAACGTCAGACTTCATGCTGAAGGTACTCCGGCACCAAACTCAGGCTAACCGACTTCTTCCATGATCATGTTTTGCTGACAAATCACGAACTCAACTTCGACTAGGACCATTATAATAGTAACGAAAACTACATATGGTAAGGCGATTGCTCTAAATGCTCCATAATTCAAATGTATTTAACCCGACTGTGATTTTTATATCCTGAATAGGGTATATTAAGTTTGTAATTGTTCCTAAATTTTTAAGATATCGATCTGAAATTTCACACACGTCGTTTTCTCTGTTAGTTTGTCGGAACTCTTGATACCGGATCATTATAATATAAAGCTGCCATACCAACTAAACGATCGGAATCAAATGCTTGTATGCAAAACTTTTTCATTTTCTGAGATATCTTCTAGAAATTTGGCATGTATTTTTGTGCAAGGTAGCGGTGTAATCTCTGAAGAAAGTGTTCAGATTAGAACGCTTTAGCGTCAACAGTCAGCAAACGCGTGGGTGCCGCGTGAACAGAGCTTACTCTGACATTGGTGTCTTTGCGACCACGTTTTAAGTCAGCAAATCAACGTTGTATTGTGGTTTCTGATGATGCGGAATCCACATAACAATTTTTAAGCCATTGCTTTGCTTCAACGGTATTTTTTCCTATCAAGAAGCAGTGTAAAATTAAAACACGAAATTGTTATCTATTGCTATAACCGATATGCTAGCAGCTTTGCAGTGTGCCTAATTGTAGGCAACGCCGGGCTTTTATTTTCTTAAAACTGTGCAAAGTAAATAAACATTTTATAATATTAAATAAAGAGTTATTGCGAGAGGAGTATTTTGTTGATAATTTTTTCCACGAAAGAAGGAAATTGCCTACTTTTAGGATGATTTGTTTCATGCTTCACAATATGACTTGATCTGTTGCATACATTTAGGATGTAGTTGCGGTGAAATATGTTGGAATGAAATAAGAAATTATAACGGAAATAAAATGGAGTAATTGGAAGAAGATTACTATCAATAGCCACTAATAAGAAATTCATTAAAATTTTCATACTAATTTAACGATCAGATCAATACTCAGTTTATAAACTAATTTATAGCACTTCAAAAGTTTCGTTTAACGACTACGTATATACATATGACATACTTAATTGAGTATATATTGAGTAAGTTTTAAACTTGTTTTTGTGCAGATCACATAGAAATTTCCAATTATGATATTTGCGAAGCAAAAATTTTCGTGCGTTGCGTTAGGAAAACATAGTGAGCGTTATGCTTGCACACGAATCTGATTTAATGAAAATTGATGGCGTTTTGTTTTTGTTTTCCAATGCATTGTCAATTCGAATAGCTTGCAGTTTTATATAGTATATATATATATCTATATATATATGTGTGTATTTATACAGATGTATGAGTGTGTGGAAGTGAATGTAAATTGCTTGCTTTTGAGCTTGTTGTAAAGCAGCAGAATAACGCTTAAACCTATTTGTAAATTCATATTGTGTCTTTATGCTTGTGTATGTGTGTGTTGTAACTCTACCACAATACAAACACTGCGCCTTGCTATCAAGTTATGACTACCAACACGCCTCGCCCGTTGTGCCAACGTACACGTTCTAGTAACTACCGTTACACTGCTACCTGATTAGGCCGAGCAGATGTTCATGTAACGCTATGAATGTCAATAACGCAAAGCTGCAGTGTTGCCACAGTGTTTGCGGCGAGCTTTTATAGTTGGCTACCGCCTGATTGCATGCGTCCGCATCGTTGCAGCTTTGCAAGCAGCCATGTACGTATCTGCGAATGAATAAAGAGGAAAGAATGTGTAAGCTGTGAAGAATAATAGCTTGCAATTCAATCAAGCAGCGCACATAAATGCATACTTATAGATGGTGATGTGGAATGTAGGTACATTGTTGACCATTTTACCTTCGACCACTTACCTGTCATCGTAGTAGAATTTGCCACAATGTGACATACGTATGATTTCCGTGTCCGTTGTAAGTGTACCGCTGTCCAGCGCACAGCCTCGTACCGTTATCGATTCGCCAGTATCATCTGCGGCGCCGCAAGTGGCAAGGAAACAGCAAGCATGAAAGAATTATAAAGAAGTTGCAACTACTAAGCGCTCACTATGCAAGAGCAACTACAAAGCATATACGAGGGCGGTCGGATAAGTATGTAGTTGTACAATAAAACTCAGTAATACGAAAATCGATACTTTCACCATTTTGAGTAAAATTTCTTTTCAGAATGTGACTTTTTCGAATTTGAAAACAAAAATAATTCGTGTGGGTCTATAAGTAGATACTATGGTGAATGTGGCAACAGTTCGTATCCTAATTCGTCCATTCTGGCTGCGCGAACGGTGCAGCCAGTGAGTTTTAGTAATGGAAAAGACCTTATTCCTTCACCAAATGGTTGGAATTCGGCACGGAACGGCAATAAACTCTGCTCTGAAGTGCTCTCACAGTTACTTTTGTGGCTTGGAATGGACAAACGTGGTACCATCGCGGCGACAGGTTTCTCATGAAGAATATGCCATGTAAGATATAATCTATTCGGTTTTTTAAGACAGCTAACTCGCGTACCTTCAATCTGCGATCTACCAATACGTGATCGTGAAATTTTGTGACTTTATCCTGCGGCACAACCTCGTAAGTTAATACCTATGGGGTCACCCTCGTATATATAATATGTATATGCCTACATACCATAAATCCCGGCGATTTTGATGCAGGCTGTCGCCGGAAATAGACCGTTACGTCCTTTTCGTCCGCCCATACATGGCGACTCTAGTATGGCGGTGGAGTAGTTGTTGTGAAAGGGATCGTCGCATGCTTTGTTGGCTCCATTGAATGAGACGCATTTGAAGCAGTCGATACAGTGAGCTATCGTGCAATAAAAAAAAGAAAAAAATCAGGGCAAAAGTGCAAAGAAAAAAATCAAAATCCCATTAGAGCTGTTAGTCAATGACATTGAAGTGCATTATACCCGTACAAGTATACCATATATGTATGTATGTGTGTGTGTTTTTGTGTGCGTAGTTACCTAGCTGTATGCTGTGTGTCGTGAGCAGTACGACGATACATGATATGATTTGCAAATTCCAGTTTACTCGTAGCACTTCGTTTAGAGGCGGCATTTTTTCATAGATACGTCTGTGTTCGCTGTTACTTTCGGGTTTTTCGTTATTTTATTTTCTTATGGTACACTTAATTCTTCCTATAAATGCAGTTCACTTTGATTTAAAGCTAACTTGAGTTTCGGTTTCATCATTTCTGGTGTGTCTACACTTCGCTTTAACCAATTTTAAAGCGCTGACGATGCATGTTTTTGATGAGCTGTAAGTAGAAGAGTTGGCATCTGAGTCATTAGAATGATTGAAGAGATCGAATGCAGATAATTTAATGCAATAACTTTTAATATTTTGAAAACATTTCGCATTTATAATTTACAGCCAAAGAAAATCCATTTAAGAATGGTCAATTTGGGAACTAGTTTGGTTCAAGTAGGTTATTAACAATCCTAAAGTTGATGGTTTGTGTCCTTGAAAATCAAAAATTTGGAAAGAATTTGTTTTTGAAATCACTTATCTCTCAATACAAGATACAATCACAAACGTTCAAAAATCCATTATTCTATACATGTTATCGGAGGTGAGTTATATGTGCAATAAAACAAGATGAAAGAGAAACTCGGTCATAAGTCAAGGGGCTGAACATCACGAAATTTTTAAAACAAACGAATATCTAACTTTGAGGTACAAGAATATATACATCGGAAAAGCCCAAAAACTCCATCTAAAAACTCAGATTCCACATATTTGCGCTGCCTTATAAATATAGTCGCTGTTGATAGAAATGTCAGTTAGGGCGAGTAAAATAAATTTAATAACATATTACGTCCAGAAGGCTAACTCAAAGGTCGCTTTCGGTGAAATAATAACCGTTGATTCAGAACTATCAGCTGATTAGATTTCCGTAGGATAAAAGAACGAATTTGGTTATGTTACCACCATAACTATTAACATCAAAAGTTAGAACTACGGGAATATAGCTACAGACAGTTCGCAATCCAATGCTTACACATAGACTTGGGCTATGACTTTTATAAACACGATTCGACATCCTCAACGGTAAGAAGTGTACTTAGTCTTAAATCAGAGAGCTTAAGGAACTTAGAGGTTGCGACAGCCGTTTTAAATGTAAAATAATATATTTATCAGTTTGCAATAAGATTAGAAAAAGTATGTATTGTATCATGAAAGAACCATAAATGATATACAAAAAGAAAACTGGAAGTATCTACCGTTACCAGAAGATAAGAGAAATATATAAAAAGTGACTACTTTCAAAATACCTTTGGATCTTTAGGTAACTTAGTCTATGCCTAAAGGAGGCCTTTTATTTTCTGCGGTTGCCTGGAAGAGAGCAAAATTGATTTTTGAACACAAATTGGTGAGCTCATATAGTAGTTTGTAAATATGTGAGTACGGTATTCGACTTCAGGAAAAACTTCATTATTGACGGAAGAATTTCATCATTGACTTAGTGTTCATCCAAGTTCCGATGCATCCACAAAGTTAGAAGTAGTGTATGGCATGTTGAACAGATGGACAATTTTTATTCGATAAATGGTTGTATAGAATTTTATGTTTAAAGCATAAAAACAATATGACATCTATAATTTTTATAAAAATTGAGCTTTCTGTAGAAGCTCAGTCCATAGTCTACGTAGTAAAACAGAATTCTCTGCCATATTGCCAGGTTAAGACCTCAGTCAACACCGAAATGGATATATATATTGATAGGGAAGCCGAAATAACTTTGGGGTAATTCTAAACACCCTATTCACAAATACCCCTATCAGGATTCACACCAGTTGTTAGAGTTCCCTAAGGCACTCATTGGTCATAAATCTTATCAAAATACTCGCCAATTTTACTGTTTTTGTTTTGGGCTATAATGCCAGTTAGCAAGTTCATTCTTCATTTCTTTTGACAAAAAGTTTATTACATAGCTACAGACTCGTGTGACATTTGACAGAAGGGTGCCTCTGCAGCACGGGTGGTAGGTAGCAGTTTCCACTCAAAGAACCATTCAAGAATTTTATTCTCAGAACGTGCGCTTATCATGTTTAATGGAGTTGAAAATTTCGTTCAGTATGGCAATAAAAACAGAAAGTGAAGTGATGACTCTGAAAGAGTATTGTTTAAAGGCAAATAAACGGAACATTCGAAACAGACGTTTCACATTAAACAAACTCAAACACGCTCTCGCCGAAAGAAGTGTTCAGAAGGCCAACTTAAAGAGCAGACATTCGGTTTTCTATAATTTGTAACTGTAATGAACAGTTGACAACAAATGGAGCACTCGGAAAAGATTTTATAAAAGGAAGTGTATTAGTCAGTGGATTAGTTTACAATAAATTGTCATAGGCTTGCCTCAAAATAATTAAATTTATTAACTATTCAACTCATGTTATTTTAATGGTTATGTCGAAACCATTTGAAGCAATATTTTGTGAAATTTTGTTGACGCAACTAGATTTCGTTTCAAGGTTGCAGCTAAGCGTATCTTTCATATATAACTTGAAAATTTTGTACGTTTGGTAGAACCCAATCTGGCAACCTGTCATACCAAGTATATCTCGAATTTTAAATAGTTTCCTTTAAGTATTTATTATTTGGCCTACATAGCCCAATAAAAGTCTTTGATATGGCATTCAAAACATTGGGAGTAAAATCGGAAATCCATCAGTGAATTTGTGACCCAGTCGACATAAAAACTACATACGAGTATTTTTAGTTATGACTACTTCTTCTTCTTCATAGTTTCCTACGAAACTTAGGCTCCTGATATCACTTACTTTTTATTACTTAATATTTTGTAGATTTCTGCACAAAAGTTATCAATTTGAGTTCTTCTTTCGAAAGCAACATGTTCCATTCTTGAAGTCTTTTGTTGATAGAGGTAACACACAAAAAATTTTTTAAGCTGTTATTAAGCTTTTTGCAAAATTGGTTTGTTTATTTTTATCGAATCGATTTTTCTTCAACAGAAGAGAATAGAAGCGATTATCTGGATGAGAAGTTGGTGAATTCGGAGCTAAAACGTCACAATGATTACTTTGCCGCCTTATTTCACTCGTAGTATCGGCATTGCATTTGAGTTGCCCATTTTCATCTCGACAGCTTTGCCAAAAATGATCTCATCTTGACATCGCAGAAGCGGAAGACCCGTAAGTACTAGAATTGTCGAAAAGTCAAAGCAAAGTCAGAGAGAGAACAGTTCGGCATGTTCGGTTGTTGGAGTCGTGGAGTCAAGTTCGGTAGAGTGAATTCGGGCAACGGAGAGTTGTACTGAGGCATATTTAATGATAATTTATTGTGGCAAAGTGAATACAAGAATTTCTACGATCCTTTTTTGAGATGGCTTAGTCATATTGACCCTGTGACCCTGTGGGATTCGATAATTGTGTTAAAATTAGTTTTGATAACACCAACAGTCATTTGAAACAGTTAAAATTATTTGTATATTCTGACACTTAGTTCTAAAAATTTGACACATTTCCTGATATCTTTTAATGGAGCTATTCGAAAATATTATTCTAGCATCCATTTCAAAAGCAATATTCAAGAATAAAGGCTATTTTAATTCTCGGAAAAAGTATGGAAAATAAATTTCGCTGAAATCATAATAAATCACACACAAAACTAAAAATGTATAAAAGAATAAAAATATATAAAAAATATCATCTGTGACACGCAAAATCTATGTTCATTCACTGCTTACGAATAAGAAAGAAGCTTGTTAAATAGCAATATTGATGACACTCTCTAAGTAGGAATAAAAAAATTACGCCTAAAATCTGTATGCAAAGTGCACAGAGCGCCATCAACATGAAGTAATCATCACTTGACGTCATGAATTTGTCATCACTGTTTTGTTTTTTTCAGCGCCTGCCTCATAAGCTTAAGCTCGTTAGCTTATAAAGTCACAAATACAATGGCGTTTAAGACGCCTAAATGACTCTGCACTTAATCATTCAGCTATTCGCGATAAGCTGCTTTAATAAATGCAGAGAGCAAACTCATTAGTTCAAAAGAAATATGCGTGCAAATGCGAGACTAAGTAATAGCGGTGCATTAAAGTTGAATTCGGCAGCAAGTCTTTAATGCTATAAATAAGTTACGTATACGTCTTGCCGCACACATTTATGTGCTTCCTGAAAGTTTTTCCGCGCTGTCATGCATTAAATGCGATTTTCATGCTGTCTTTTTCTTACTGAGCACAAAACAACAAGATGATAAATATGTGGGGAAAAACGAAGCTATCATTTTTCTACAGCTAATTTCACGGCATTAAGCCGCAATTTTATAGACATTTCTGAAAAGATACCTGCTTCCTGGTTTTTTCTGCCTTTCTTTGCTGCCAGCAGCACATTAAAAAGTCATAAATTCAGATTTGGCAACAATAAAATTAGCAGTGCCACAGAATACACAGTTACACTATTACATTGTTGGAATTCTATTCGCAAAGCGGAAGGAGGAAAGAAATGCCAACAACTGATGGCTATAAAAGGCGTGGGAAATTTTAGGAAGCTGCTAAAGAAATTCGTTATAAATTTGATGTATGTTAAGTTAGTAAGTTATATACTTTAAATTTGAAAGTGCTGCAATCTCTTAAAAGAACTTAAGCAAAAATAAGAAAGTGTAGATATGATTTTTACTTAGAAAATACAAATGGAGATTAAGAAAAAAGCTTGCAAATACCATATAGAGGAAGCCTGTAAAGGCAATAATCCATTTTCTAGCTTCTTCATTTGATCATAGCAGATTGTATGGGAAATATTCATGCCATGTAACCTCAGTATAAGTCAAATAAATTTTGGAAATGGCACCAGAAATATAGAATATTATAAAAATAGTGGTTTGAGCTTACTTCTTGCATGATTCCAAAACTATTTGAATAAGTGATAAATGTGATGTCTTGCGTTCGGAATCAGTTTTCATTAAGAATTAATGAACTTCAAAACAATTCTTTTATTCCAAGTGTATGAAACATTAACATAGAATAACAGAGAATACTTGCACTCAACACATATTTCCCAAAATTTCAACCAAAAATAAAAAAATCGACTTTTCATATACTACGATGTATCATAAATTAGCCTTACCTAAAGATGAAAATTGAAACATTTTGTGAAAAGTACAATTGATTTAATACAAATACTCATAGTTTGTGAAAAACCTTCTTGAAAAGAAGCATTTGCACCTAATTGCCTCGATTAGAACGATTACAATGTAAGGTCGCTGAAACAAGCATTATTCGAAAAATAA